AGGCGCTTGGCCGCTCGCCCCCGGCTGCGGGGTGCCGGGAGGCTTGAGCTGGCTGGGCGCTTGGAGGCTTCAGACTGGTAAGTCCTTTTTTTAAAAAACTATTCTAGGTGGGTTTTGTAGAGTGGGTTTGGACTGGGGGTGTTATGTTTCTGTGCTATGCTGTGTTGCTTTGTTTTTGGATTTTATTTTTATTTTTGCAGTCCCAGCATGGGACTTGCTCTGTTTATTTTTATTTGGTATTTTTTTGAAATGCTGGAAAGGATTAATCTCGTTCCCATGCATTTCAACGGGAAATGGTACTTCAACTTACAAACGTTTCGACTTACGAACGCCGTTCCAATATGGATTACGTTCATAAGTCGAGGTACCAATGTACAAGTGAGCATATAGCTTCATTATATCAGTACAGATCCAGAATGTTAAATCTCCTTAGCCAATTTTGTCAAACATTTCACCAAACATTAGTTGTCCCTCTGACAGCAAGCGCAGTGTGTGAACTTGTGTTTGTTAAAGCCAAAAATGAAAAAAGAGTAATAATACAGCAAATCCTTGTGTATGACACTGACTTGAATAGCTAGGGCTAGGGCAGGAGACCTTTTGGTACTGGAAACTTTCCAAGTAACTGCTTTTAAGATGTCACACATTTCACCTCAACAGAGTTTGCAGAAAATAGCAAATGATAAGGGACTGACCGGTGCAATAGCACATCTCTTAGTGCAGGAATGGGTTACTGTGACCTCCTAGATGTTTTTGGCCTACAGTTCTCACGGACCCTAGCCAACATAGTCTGTGGTAAAATATTATGGGAATTGCAATCAAAATGTTGGAGAGCCACAGTATCCCACATATGTTCGAAAAGAAACAAGAAACAAAACTAGAAGAGACATTCATTATACAAAAAATAAAAGTACACAGAACCCAAGGAAAAACTTGTGGTAACTGAAACATCACCATACTTCATGAAGGCATAAGAGATATTCATATAATTCCAGTAAAAAGAGAAACAGGAAGCAAAGAGAAACAGTGAACAGTTTCAACCCAAAGCAGGAAAAATTAGATGAATTTGGACCATGTTAGGTTCTGATGTTGCAATACCTAGATTAAACCCCATATTCTAAGGCAACATAT